AACAGCCCTTTATTATGTGAACAAACAGGGAGGCACACACTCCCTCTCATTACTATACCTGGATGTCAAGCTCTGGGAGTGGTGTTACCTACACCACATTTTCTCAGTAGCAGTACACGTCTCGACTGATGACAATCTGCTTGCAGACCATCTTAGTCACCTCAGCACACAAACACACGAGTGGTCATTGGATGACAAAGTTTTCAATCTCCTCTGCCACCGGTGGGGTGTCGCTTCCATTGATGCCTTCACCTCCGAGACCAATGCCAAGTGTCACCGATATTGCTTCTGTGCCGGTACCAGCATGAACTCACTTGGAGATGCCTTTATGATAGATTGGACCAACAAATTCTTGTACCTCTTCCCTCTGATACCACTCATTCAATGCACCATCCTTCAGCTTCGTCAATTTCGCTCAAATGCCATACTTCTTGCCCTGTGGTGGCCACGATAACCATGGTTCACCCACCTGAGGTCTTTGTCAACAGGCGTCTTCCGTCTCCCCTTGATACCCAATCTTCTCAACCCAGGACAATGGGAAAGTTTACCATCCGGACATAGAGTCTCTGAACCTGAAAGCGTGGAGAATACTCCCACCATAAGAGACACACTTGATTGAGCTTGAATACCTTCGACCCAACTCCTATATTGGAATAAATGGAAGGTTTTCCTATCTTTTGCCAACTCCCACAATTTACCCCCTGTTTCTTTGAAGACTGTACTTACCTTTGTCCTTCATCTCTTTCATCTCAGATTGTCTCATTCTACCCTGAAGCTTTATATCTCTGCTATTGTGGCACACCAGCTGCTTCATTATGATTCTGCTAAGCTTTTTTCCCACCCAACTTTGAAAAAATTCCTCAAGGGACTCCACAATATTTGCCCAACATGTCACCGTCCTCTTCCACAGTGTCCTTGCAAGTTGTCCTCAGTGCTCTTACTTGACCGCCCTTTGAACCAATGGCTACTGGCAGTTTTAAATTACTTTCTCTGAAGAAATCATTCCTCATAGCAGTAACATCTACTAAACGTGCTAGCGATCTTGCTGCCCTCAGATCCGACCCACCTTTCCTCCAGTTTCACCCAGAGTCACCCTTTATCTTGATGTATCATTTTACCTAAAGTTGTCTCTGAATTTCATCTTAATCATCCATTGATATTACATACTCTATTCCCTTCTTCTACACCACTCGAGCGCATGCTCCGCATGCTTGATATAAAACGCGCTTTGGCCTTCTACATTGATAGGACTAAATCATTTAGAAAATCACCATGACTTTTTCTATGTTTCCATGGCCCTCATAAAGGTGCTGCAGCTTCACTTCAAACTATCTCTCGATGGATTATTCAGACTATCTCACTCGCATATGAATTAACAGGGAAAACGCCGCCTGAACATTTGAAGGTCCACTCTACTAGAGTGCTGTCCACCTCTACTGCACTTCACCATGGAGTTCAGCTTCCTCACATCTGCCGTGCAGCTACATGGTCTAATCCATCGACCTACGTGAGAGCAAAAAATGATGCTGCTTTTGGCAGAGATGTTTTGACTTCTCTTCTACCGTGATGTCCACTATTCAGTAAGTCAGCTTGCCAGTCACCCAATTGTGTGCATTCACAGAGACCATGAAGAAGAAAGAGAGGTTACCTACCCATAACCATGGTTCTTCTGGTGGTCCTCTGTGAATCCACACATCCCATCCATCCTCCCCTCTGTCCGTCATGTTGTCTTTTTAAATAGATCTTTGACAACGGCGGACACTTTCAGGAACTGAGGGAACTTTGGGTGGGCGGAGCATAACTCCATGGGGGAACGTCCCACTAATCAATTATCTTTAAGCTCTAGAAACTTCCGAGAGGTTGTGTGCAGGCGCAGAACAACCCAATTGTGTGGATTCATAGAGGACCATTAGAAGAATCATGGTTACAGGTAGGTAACCTCTCTTTTTTAAAAAAATCAATCCAAAAGGGTAAATGCCACCTCATAGACAGAAAAGAAAATAGAAAAAAAACCCTCATACAGCCCCTTCTCCCAAACAATCAAAGCCCCAACCAGCCAAGATTACTGGAATATATTGAATTGCCATTCCTCCCACTACCCCTGTACAGGTTGATTGACTGCTGACAATCCTTGTGATGTTATTGGATGAAAAATTTATGAGATGATTAGACAAAAAGGGCCACAAAAGTATCAGAAACCTTTCTGTGCCAGTCTTTAATAAACATGAAGAAATTCATATTTATAGGTTCTCTTTTGGTACCCACCACAAGAACATGAATCATACATAGGCTTTCATTTAGACATGAAAGACCTATTCTTAGTTATGCATCTATATTTCTTGAGCAGTAAGTATGTTTTATGTTGAAGATCATGGGTATAATGCCAGTTGTATAGCAAGATGTTAATACTATGTCTTCCTGGTTTCTAGGTCCTCGGAACCCCTACAAGAGAGCAAATTAGAGAAATGAATCCAAACTACACTGAATTTAAATTTCCTCAGATTAAGGCACATCCATGGACTAAGGTGAGTGTGTTTGAAATAATGATGGATATGGTGGAGGGATATCTTCAGTACCAAGGACTACACGTTAATGACTCAGCGACCTTACATACTGTTAGTGGGTTATTTATCCATTCTCTTGATAATAGTTTTATCACTGCAACTAGAAGATACTTCATGGAGAGTGGAGTGCCTGCTTGCCCCTCAGATCTACAACCCTCTCTGTCCGGTGCTAATCCGTCCCAGGGGTTCACCCAAATGGAGCCAGTTTACAGTGGACACAATGAACTGCAGATGGGATATGAGAGGAGAAATCAGTACATGTATGTCTGTGGAGGTGAATGTATCTTCTTCTCGTACAGAAATTATTTCTTTCCTGAATCACTTCCCCAAATACCAAGGGTACTTGGATTATTGCCTAAAG